GATGTTGTTTCTAGAAATGATGAATCAGTGCTGGAGTGGATGGCTTGGCTGTCATGGGAGAAAGAGGAGGATAAAGCTCTGTACAATGTTATTTGAACCAATAGTTTGGGGAACCATTCTCATTTCATAACATTATAGCCTGTGTAGAGCTTGTAGAAATACATTAAAAACAATGTGGCTCCCTTCTATAAACCACACAATTACTACAGATGAGGATATAAATGTATTTTACTTAAGTGCATCAAATCTAGCATTCCACCATACCCCGCACAATCTTATATATTCCTGTGATTATATAAAAAACATTTCAATCTTACATCTTTATTCTAGAATATTCCTAAATTTCTAACAGGATGCAGGAATTTGCCTATAATTATAGGCTAATTTTCATCTGAGCTTGGGACTATTACACATCCCAAACTTATTAACTTGGTGCTACCTCTTAGTTCTGGCATCATGGAGTTTTAAGAAATGTCTGGGCCTCATGTTTAGAATGATGATCACATGCAATGCATATCAACAGTAGTAGATGAGTCCTAAATTGGCTGACTGGCTTCCATCACAATAGGGGCCCTCCAGCACTGCAGGCTGAAGTCAACTCTGGGTCTTTAACTGTTCAATGTACTGTCTCACTTGAAAATCCTGAATTGCAGCATATTCCTTCCCCAAATCACTGATTTGGTGTGGAGATTACAAGTTCTTAACTCGAATCATTGCACCCATCTAAATTGAATGAAGAGAATGAAATAAACTGTGGTCTCCATATCTTCTTAATCAACTTAGAATAAACTATAGAATAGGCAATTTGTTCTAAAACTGCATGAAAGATACAGAAAAAAAAGAAAAAGAAGGGAAACAGAAAGATACATGCAACAGAATGAAAATAGACATTCAATTAAAACAAAAAAAGAGATAAAAGGAAAGAACATAAGTCCAAAGGAAAATAAAAGAGGAGAAGGGAGGAAAAGAAAAGTTATAAAGTGGGTAGGAAGTAATAAAATTACAGACTCAATAAGGCCTCTTAATGCAGGTAATTTTAAGCAGTAAACTCCATAAAGCAGAGGTAACAAATAGATGCTCTTTACAAAAGAGCCCCAGGCAGGATATAAATATATAATACACCTGGAAGGCACTTAGAAATCAAATCTTTTAAAAACACCAATTTAATCTCTGCCATAAAAGCAAGCTGAACTACATCGCTTACATCCTCTGCCATAAAGCAAAGGTCATGATAATTCAGTTAGAGTGAAGGTGAAATAAAGTGAAAGAAAGTGCCTTAAGAAACACACCAGAAGAACATGATAGGCAAACACAAGAGACAATTAGGCCATCTCCTGGAATTCTGTGATAGTGTTTTGCCAGGATGGCAAATTATAAATGTGTGTTCCTGGCTTCAAGAAATGGAGGGCATGGTTTGCAGTTGAGGAAAAAGAACTAACTACACTCAGCTACATGAAATAGACAAATGTACCTTTAGATTTGTAGCATGTGCCATACTCCAATATAAATATCTGCTCCATCTACTACTAAACGAAATAAGCGGGTATATATTTTAAATCATCTCTGAAGTTGGATTGACAGCCCAGGAATACAGCTCCTCCAACTAAAATGGAAATGAAAAGGAGTATTAATTTTCAGCATTGATTCACCATTTAGATACTTATTAAATAAAATTCTGGCTACAGGTGTATTTTTAAAAAAGTAGTCAATTAAATTTCATTTTTTATAATGATAAATGAAATCTTCAGTAGATTAAAGTCTTCAAGCAACTAGAAACTAATCTGGTGAGTAAGCATGTACCCATTTCCATTCAAATGGCAGTAGCTGGTCTAAATTGACCCGATGGTGAATACATATAACTTATTATTGAGTCCCAGAACTCATGGCAAGTTTAAAAAGTAAACTGATAGGTAAAAAAAACATGATGTCGCTGGATTACATATGGTAAAGAAATGTACTGACTGCAGCAGTAGTCAGAAGTTTAAAATTGTAGATTTTCTTATGAGTATCCTATATATACACACACTGCAATAATCTTTTTAGAAATATAATAATCAATTTTATTATGACGTCATAGAAATAATCCACAGAGAACAACATTTGGAATACTTTTACTCCTTTTTATTTTAATTTTTTTTTTTAATGCTTATTTATTTTTAGTGGACAGAGAGAGACAGAGCAATGGAGGCAGGCGGGGAGGGTCAGAGAGGAGACACAGGGGGGGGGGCAGAATCTGAACCAGGCTCTAGGCCTCTGAGCTTCTGTCAGAGCCCATGGGGCTCTGGGAACTCAGGACTGTGAGGATCATGAACTGAGCCTGGAATAAAGTTGGACGCTTTAACCGACTGAATGGAGCCCAGGAGCCCCAACATTGCTTTACTCCTAAGTAGATTTAATGCATGGTTAGGTTGGAAGAAACAGCATACATATCACCCCACTCCTCCCTCCAATGAACTCTTCTTGAAATGGCACTACTGAGTAAATTATTGGCCTAATAATAACATGCAATTCCAGGTTCATTGGGAGGCAGTAAAGCGCTAGGACTATTAGAAATTTACAGGTGTCTTGTCTTATAATCAGTTTTCTAATAATAAGGCATACCTTAGAGATATTGCGGGTTGGGATCCAGACCACGCACAAAGCAAAACCATCGCAATAAAGCAAGTCAAATAAATTTTTGTGGCTAAAATCAAAACACAAAGAAACAGCAAGTATTGGCCAGATGTGGAGAAAAAAACACTGTTGGTGGTGGAATGAAACGCTAATTTTAAACTGGTATGGAAGACAGCCACTATGTATATAGAGGTTGATGAAAAAAAATGAAAAAATAGAGCCATCCTATGGATCCAGTGAGACCATCCAATACTGGGTATTTTTTATATTCAAAAAAGAATATGACAGAAAACACTAATTGAAAGGATATATGCACCACTATGTTTATTGCAACTATTTATAATAGCCAAATTATGGAAGCTAAGTCTGAGTATCTACTAACAGATGAATGGATAAAGATGTAGTGTGTATACAATGGAATATTAGCATAAAAAATAGAATGAAATCACCATTTTACCTTAAACAACATGGATGGATCTAGAGAGTGGAAATGCTAAGCAAAATGAAGCTTCAGTTAGAGAAAGACAATACTACAGATTTAACTATGTGGAATTTGCAGAAACAAATGAACAAAAAAAGGAAAAAAAGAGAGAAAACAAAAAAAGATCTCAACTATAGAGAATAAACAGATGCATTACTGTTTTGCTAGAGAAAGCAGCTGGTGGGGGGGGCTGCTGAATAGGCAGAGGATTAAGTGCTGGCAATTCTCTTGATAAGTACTGAGTAATATATGGAACTGGTGCTGAATCACTACACTGTACACCTGAAATTAATATAATACTACATGTTTTTTATAGTGGAATTAAAAATAAAATTAAAATATTATTAAAGATAAAATAATTTTTTGGTTTATTCCCTAGTGCATTGATAAAATTACATTTACATATTTACTATAGTCTAAATGTGCTGCTGGCATGAATAGGAAATATTTATACATGACTTCATTGCTAAAAAATTAATCATCATCCAGAGCTTTCAGCAAGTCATAATTACTGATCATAGATCACTGCAACAATAGATATAGTAATGACAAAGTCTGAAATATTGCAAGAATTACCCAAATGTGACACAGATGGAATACATTTCTTGAGTGCATGGAACACTCTCCAGAATAGATCGCTATTACATACTGGGACACAAACTGGGCCCTCAACAAGTACAAAAGATCGAGAGCATTTCATGCATATTTTCAGGAAGACTTCTACACCGTGATGAAACTGAAATGAACCATAAGAAAAAAAATCTGAAAGACAACAAATAATTGGAGACTAAAGAACATCGATACTAAAGAACAGAATGAATGTAAGGCTAACCAAGAACTTAAAGAGGAAATTAAAAGTATTATATAGGAAGCCAAAGAAAATAATAACCTACAATAGAGCACAAAAAACCTCTGGGAAGCAGCAAAGGCAGTCATAAGAGGAGAGTATATAGCAATCTAGGCCTTCTTAGAGAAGGAAGAAAGGTCTCAGATACACAGCCAGACAACCAACCTTACACCTTAAAGAGCTGGAAAAGAACAGCAAACCATAAAACCCACTGTGTAGCAGAAGATGGAAATAATAAAGATTAAGTAGAGCAAAAAAATCAAAGCTATTACAAAGAAAAAAAATAAAAAACAAAAAACAAGTAGTAGAACAAATAAATGAAACCACAAGCTGG